TTCAACTCTGAAGTCCTACATTTTATTTCATTAAGATTGGAAAAGAAAAATGTAAGAATAGGTGAAAGTTTAATTTATTACTTTCTCAAAAATATAGACCTTTAGGTCTTCTATCATTTCGTGCAGTTTTTAATCATAAACTATAATTGACAGGTGGAAAATAAGACAGTTTATATATCCGTCTGGCAGGGTGACACCTTTACGGACCGTCCATCTCGACATACTGACAACTTAACTAGCCATCATCAACCTTATTGACACCTTAATAACACACTATCATTAATATATCACACATTGTCAAACATAAAAAATATAATTGAAGGGAGAAGCTCTTTTGGGGGGTTGATTTGGGTCTTGAAAATATGTAAATAGTCTTCAGAAGTACTAGACATGAAAGAAAATCGCATAATTCTTTCAAAAATATCTCAAACTAGGAATTTTACTCACTATTTCTTTCGTATATATCAAAGAGCATCTTAAAATGACAGTCGTCACTTTTAAACACAATGTACTCTTCTTTGTATTTGCTGATGTTAAAGTTATTTAAAAAGTCCCTGTGATAAGAGTATATTACGGAGCCCCTAAGGCGCAATTTTCGATACTTTTATAAACTATGTTGTTTTAAAAAAATAATTAATTCATTTAGTTATTTCAATAAACGAATTAGTTATTTTGTTTAAATGAAAATTGAATCTACGGGCTCCATAGTACACGTATATCAACCATTTCTGCAATATACTTTACAGTGAATCTTTGGAATAAATATAAGATTGATAAGAAGAATTCTTCCAAATATATAACCATAAATTCTTATTTTACGTTTCCAAATTACTTTCTTTCTTCCTGCTTAGTTTACTAAATATTAACACACAATAGTTGTGAACATAACTTAAACCCTGTACAAGTGCCTTTTGGTGAATAGTAACTTGTTAGATTCAATCACCCTAATATCAATATGTCCTTTTAGGGGTTAAAAAATACCTCCCCCATTAACACTGGGTTGGAACGCTGTCTTTTTGTGGCAGTGGTACTCAGAGTTGGATTGTCGTCTGCTAGGTGATTGGGTGCTGTGGGTTTGAATCCTCCTCAAGATAAGAACAATGCTGAAGACTGTGCCAGTGCATCCAAGAGTCAACTCGTTGTAGACTCTAACAACCCTAATACATGATCTGGAACATGTATCTTATACAACTAATGACTAATTTTATGGTTAATTAAAAAAGTCCCTGTGATAAAAGACCTCATATAGTATATCAGCTATTTTCAGTGATATACTCTATACCGTTCTATCATTATTTATCTATCATTTTATCTGATATACCATACAAACTTGTTATCAACTTTATCAATAATCAATATTTACTGTCTTCTAACACAGGTCACAGGATATTTTATACAATGGGATCTTTTCCTAATGATTCTGATAAGTCAATTGGAAATGTCACAGTCTAAACTCTTTTGTTTCTTAAAAGTATTTTTTTCTCCAAATTTCTTTATGAATTTTAATGTTTTTCCTGCTTAGATAGAGTCTTATATTGGAAAGTTAACCTGAATATCTGAAAGTACATGTCCTGACAAGAATTTTGTATCCAAAAGATGAATTGAAGAACAGTGACTTCACTTCCTTTGCTAATGCCTCTATAATCTTGGCAGCTATAACCTTACCTTTCAAACCCAGCTGTCCTGATGAGGATTGTATATCTGAAACATGTGTCAACAGCGTGACATGAGCCATAGTCATGTACATTAAAGATATAGTTTTCTACGTTACAATAGTTTTAAACTAAACTTTAATACTGTGCCATTGCCTTCTGTAGAGTAAGTAACATTTTCAATTTTAAACAAATGGCAGACATTGATCCTTTTAGACAAAATATTTCTTTAAAACCAGTCCTACACCACGGATTTAACCTTCAATAGTAGAAACTTGTTAAATTTCAAACAATTTCAATACATTAATCCTTCAAACAAAACCCCACTAAAAAAAGATGAAGTTTGACCCTTCCCCCTACCCCTTCATCTCTCCTACCCCTTTCATCTCCTACCCTTTCATCTCTCCTACCCTTTCATCTCTCCTACCCTTTCATCTCTCCTACCCCTTCATCTCTCCTATCCTTTCATCTCCCCTACCCCTTCATCTCCTACCCTTTCATCTCTCCTATCCCTTCATCTCTCCTACCCTTTCATCTCTTTCATCCTTTCATCTCTCATACCACTCAT